AGCAACCTCCAACTCCTGGGCTCAAGCGAGTCTCCTGCCTCAGCCTCCTGAGTAGCTGGGACCATAGGCGCCCGCCACAATGCCTGGCTATATTTTTTTGGTTGCAGCCATCGTTGTTGTTTGGCGGGCCCAGGCTGGATTCGAACCTGCCACCTTGGGTGTACGTGGCTGGCGCCTTAGCTACTTGAGCCACAGGCGCTGAGCCAAGGGGGGGAGGTTCTTAATTAAAAATTTGGTCTATATGGAGCAACAAAAATTTTCATAGAATGCAAAAATAGTATTGTAATATATTTTTAAAAATTTCAACATAAGTACAATTTACAAATATACTACATTAAAAAATTATGTATAGTATTATTTTATTCTTTGGCATATTTCTCATTTGAGTGAATTTTTTTAGTAGATTGCTGTCATTTAAAAAGTCATGAAATTTTTCACAAGAATTTGTTAAATTATATTTCACACATAAAATGGCTTTCAAAGTCTTAACATTTAATTGTGATTTTTCTGATGTCCACACATAAAATAATACTATACATAATTTTTTTTTTTGGCCAGGGCTGGGTTTGAACCTGTCACCTTCAGCATATGGGGCTGGCACCCTACTCCTTTGAGCCACAGGCGCCCCCCCATACATAATTTTTTTAATGTATTATATTTGTAAATTGTACTTATGTTGAAATTAAAAAGTATATGTTACAATACTATTTTTGCGTTCTATGAAAAATTTTGTTGCTCCATATAGACCAAATGTTTAATTAAGAACGCCCCCCTCCCGTCAGTGGTGTCCTGCTTTACCAATGTTAAAATCTGGTCACCTTACTCAAGTGGCTAAGGTGCCAGCCACATACACCTCAGCTTCCCAATTAGCTGGGACTACAGGCACCTGCCACAATGCCCAGCTAATTTTTTTATTTTAGTAGAGATGGGGTCTTACTCTTGCTCAGGCTGGTCTTGAACTTCTGAGCTCAAGTGATCCATGCACCTCCACCTCCCAAAGTGCTGGGATTACAGGCATGAGCAACCACGCCCAGCTGGTACCAAGTCTTTGGAATCTGGTATCTGTCTCCCACTCACAGAGAACCTTAATCTGGGTGCTGAAGTTTCCTCAGAAATTCTCACCTGTACAGTATTTATATTTCATTGAAAAGGAAAATCAATAGCAAACCAAGTTCAGGTTTTTTTTGTTTGTTTTGTTTGTTTTTGAGACAGTCTCATTGTGTCACCCTGGGTAGAGTGCCATAGCATCACAGTTCACAGGAAACCTCAAACTGTTGAGCTTAAGCAATTCTCTTGACTCAGCCTCCCAAGTAGCTGGGACTACAGGTGCCCACCACAACACCCAGTTATTTTTTGTTGCAGTTGTCATTGTTGTTTAGCAGGCCTGGGCCAGACTTGAACCCGCCAGCCTTGCTGGCGCTATAACCACTGTGCTATGGGTGTCGAGCCATAACCAAGTTGTTTAAATCTACACAATGGTTTTCCCCAAACTGAACCCAGTGTCAGTTTTTTATTTTTAATTGAAATCAATTGGAATTAATGACAATGAAATATTTGCTTCCCTGATGGCACTAGCCACACTTCAAATTTCTGGGCTGCATGCCCAGTGGCAGGGCAGGTTTTTCTAGGATGTGGAATTCCTCAGGGTCTCAGTCTACTTGTATCTGCAGTTCAGCTCCTGCCCTGCTCTGCAGAGGCCCCCGCCAGCTCTCTTTCCTGGACTCCCACCTGCTCTAAGACACTGTAGTGGGACTTAGTGCCCAGGACACAGGTCTCACATGCAAACTTTGTCCCAGAGACCCAGAGTCCAAGATGACATCTCTGGAGGGTTGCTGGGGGTCCCCTTGGACACACCAGGGGCCAAAGCACAGTGAGGAAGCCCATGGACATGATGCCTGCATCCAGCACAGGTAGGGGTTGTGTGTTCAGAGGACTGCACTAGCCACATTCCTGCCGCCACAATCCTCCAGTGCACCTGCAGAACCTACAGAAGATCCACACCTTGATGACCTCCACACTCTCTCCATGCAGGATAATCTCACTGTCAAGCTGTTCATTAGTCTCCATTTCTCAGATGATGAAACTGACCCAGAAGGAATTACCCAAAACCACTGGGCTAGGACTTGAACCTTGAAGAAAGCCTCCTTCAGATAGATGGAATGAGAGAATGACAGGCAAAGAAGAAACAGACATCTAGGGAGTAGGGCATCTGGTAGAATTGTGCCCCAGGGAAGGGAAAGGGGTGAGTCATCTTTGAGCCCTCACAGAGCCCAACTAACCACTTGCCAAATGTATCTAACTCCTACTCACATTTCAAAACCCCTTCCCCCCATCCTGTCTTACATACAGTTTTTGACCCCCTAGTTCCTCTAGCCTCAAGCCCCTCCTGTTCTGTTTCTGTTCACATGGAGAAGGTAGGGCGTTCTGTGCTTGCCACTGTCTTCCCAGGGGTGGACAAAGTCAAATCTAAGTCTCTTGGGAGCTAGCATCTCCTAGTAGTAGACTGTCCCAGAACACAAGGCAGGGAGCTTTTGATGAATAAATAGGTGCATGAATGAACAAATGAATCAGTGAATTACTGGATAAGTGAATTCACTTATTCTGTTATTCATCTATTAATCTATTGATTTATCTATGCAAGCAGATATCACCTATTGAATGCCAATGGTATGCCTGGCCTAGTGTGCTTGGCAGCCTCTCCCTTTCCCCAAGGGCCTCTTCTGAACTTGACTCTGCTTTTTCATCTTCAGCCCTAAATTCAAAACCTCTTCTCACACACACCCCATTCCCCAATTGATCTGATCACTACAAGCTTTCAACCACTGACAGTTCTCCAGTCTTTGTACTTTTTGTTCTACCAGGAATACCATTTCCTTTTGGATTGGCAAACTCCCGCTCAGCCGTCAAAACCCCAGCTCCAGTGACCCCCTCCTCTGAGGAACTTGTCCTGGTTCCCTTGCCCACCCTCAGCTATCACAGTCCCTGGGAGGGGCCAAGACTGGGATGTACCTCAAAGGGGCTTGCAGGAGCTCTCATTTCTGTTCCAAAGGATTTAGGAGCCCAACCCACAATTCCCCTCTTCTGCCATTGTACAGAAGGGTAACTGGAGACCCAGGAAGTGCAAGAAAGCCGCCTAGCAAGGAGAGTGCAGGAATGCTGGGTCTTGGCAGTTCGCAGTCCCTGCCCCTTCCTGCTTAAGTTTTCCCGTAGTTTTAGTGTTCGAGGTGCCCCTCCCAGCCGTTGAGGATAGAGGTGCTGTGACAGGAACGGAAGGGGGAGGTGTTTAGGGGCTACCGTGAGGACTCAGGAAGTTTGCAACCGCAGGAATTCGGTGCTTTCAGGCCTTATAAGGACATTTGCACTCTGGGCCAATGGGCGGCAGGAGGCGTGGCGCCCCAACCCTGCCCCAGCCCCTCAGTCCCTGCCAGCATCTTGGTTCTGTCTCGCCTGTTTGGCGCTTCCCTTCCTCTCCAGCCAGCCATGAGCTCCACGCAGTTCAACAAGGGACCCTCATACGGGCTTTCCGCCGAGGTCAAGAATCGGGTGAGTGGTGGGCGCGTCACTGGGCTCCACTAGCCGCGGCTGTGGCGCGCTCGAACTCGCTTATGAGTCCGGCGACGCCGGGCTCCCCTGCAACTAGCGGGCAGTGCGTCTCGCACCGGGGACAAGGGATCACCTCTCCCTGACCTCTGGGTGGTCTGGGGCCTTTCCCTGGGCTCCCTCAAGTCTGAGGGAGCAGCGAGGTCTGACCTCTGGTGATGACCCATCTCCCCAGCATCTAGGGGTAACCTTTTCCCCAAGCTGTGTGCCCAGACTCCTCCCTATGAGAAGTCCCCTCCTCTGCCAACTCCCAACCGCTCAGGCGTGGACCCTTTGAAGGCGTCAAGGCCCAAGAAGGACTTGGAGCGGTGGGGGACCACCCAGCCCCCTCCTCATCTCCTGGCCACACTTCTGCTTTTTTTGCCACTTAAACTTCAGGAAAGGAAGGAGTGACCCAGGGTGCTTTTTGAGAAAGGTGTTGGTCCCCCCACAGGAATTTCCTGACCTGTCTTACAACTGTGGGGGAACAGTCTCCTTAGGCAGCTAGTTCACTTCTACGTTCTTTTTGTCCCTAGCTGATAAATTTTAAGGGACACCAAAGGGGTTCCCTGAAGGTGACCCTAAAATGTGTGGGTTTTGTAACCTGAAAATATGAAATGGGACCAGGAGGAGGCACTTCTTTTACAAAACCACTTGTGGTTCTGGCTCAGAGAGGGACCAGACACTTCTGGGTATCTCAGAGATGGGAGATCCAAAGCCTGACACTGTTGCACCCTTCTTGCAGGAGGGGTTTGTCATCCCTGCCCATCACACACACACACACACACCAGGCACCTGGGAATGTGGCTTCAGCTGTAGCAGAAGCCTGCCTGGGCACGCTGAGGGCACCAACCCTAGTCCTGCTAGCCTCTGAAAGGCACCCTAGGGCCCACACATAGGGGAGAGAATTTTTGCATTGCCTTTGTGAGCTTCTGGGAGCCCTTTGGCAGAAAGGAATACTATGGCTTGGGGCAACCAGGGTCCCCCAATGAGCCCTGGGGTTCTGGACTTCCCCTTAAACACCAGGGAACTTGTGATGGGCTGGATTTTTTTTTTTTTTTTTTTTTTTTTGAGACAGAGTCTCAAGCTGTCCCCCTGGGTAGAGTGCTGTGGTATTACAGCTCACAGCAACCTCCAACTCCTGGGCTCAAGCGAGTCTCCTGCCTCCGCCTCCCAAGCAGCTGGGACCACAGGCGCCCGCCACAACGCCCGGCTATTTTTTTTTTGGTTGCAGCCATCATTGTTGTTTGGCGGGTCCAGGCTGGGGATTCGAACCCGCCACCTTAGGTGTACATGGCTGGCGCCTTAGCCAGTTGAGCTATAGGCGCTGAGCCAGATGGGCTGGATTTTGACAGAGCCTGCCTGTAACTGCACAGAGACAGTTTAGGGGAGACTTGCTATGCGATTATGGCTCAGAGACCGTGTTGCAGCTGACCAGAACTACATGGCCTGCAAGTGGTAGAGCCAAGACTAGAATCTAGACCTGTAGGATCTGGTGCCTGGTGGCCCTTGCCTACGCAGGCAGTCTGGGCACCCCTACCCCACCCTGGCAGCAGAAGTGAGACAGGGCACACAGCACTCCTCACGGGTGGGGCAGCTTCCCAAGATGGGTGGGTAGGTGGGCACAGTGCCACCTTCCCTGGTGGGGGTGAGTTGAGAAACTGGAGTATCCCTGTTGGTTCCTTGTGGCCAGCCCTGTCTGGAGAATGGGTGTGGTATTGACCAGCTTGCCAGAGTCACTAAGGGGTCATACCCCAATTGGAAACTGGCTTCTAGTGGCTTCTGCTCCCCCCATCCCTATTACCAACTGCTTAAGACAAGGGAGACCCAGAAGCCTTTCTCCTCTACACCTCTGTGCCTCAGTTTATCCCTGGATAGATGACACTGGGGCATAGGCTCCCAGTCCAGTGTGTCTCTCTGAGATGCCATGGCTGCAGGATCCCAGTTGAGGGGCTAGACCTGTTGGGAGCAGCTGGTCCTGATTTAGCAGGGAGGCAGCATTGCATTCCTGGCAGTTTGTGGTAAGGAGGAATGTGCTGAGGGCCCAGCTGGGCAGCTCTGGGAGGAAACTGGCTGCTGTGGGAGGGGCCCAGCCAGGCGCCTCTGCCTGGGACCCTGGCCTCTTGGCCCTAGGAGCTGGCAAGGGTAAGACCCAGCTGGGCTGGGCATGTTCAGCGACCATCTAGGACTCAGCTTTCAGTCCTCCTCTCTCATTCCTCAGGATAGACAAAGCTCCATCTGGGCAGGGCTACCCCCTTGCCCCTTCTCTCCCAGCTGGGGAACTAGAGACAGCCTAAGGATGTCCAGCTAAGGTGGGTAGGTAGGACCAGGAGAACAAGACAGCTGGGTGAGTCCCTATGTCTCCTCTGTGTTGCCAGTGTTCAGCCCTGATTTCAGAATAAGGGGGCTCCCAGGCAGGAGCCAGAAATAGAGGGCTCAGCTCGAAAGACCTTACCTAAGTCCTTCAACAGGGAGATGGGGAGACTGAGACTTACATTAGTCATCTGGGGAGCTGGGTGCAGAGCTGAGAGCAGTGTGGGTCTGCTCTTGGGTCCTTCTGCTCCCCTGGGGAAAGGGCATCCTTTCTCAAGGAGCAGTGGAAGTTATGGGGCTCCTCAGCAGAAACCCCTGGAGCTGGACAGGATGGATGAGAGCAATCCAACTTTTCACCACCTTTGGCAGGAGCTGCCCCATGGCAGAACACATCTCCCCTGGGTATCCCTAGGCCCAGCCACTCCAGGTTTCTGAGCCTTTGGTACTCTGGGATGCTGCAGTGGGGAACAAGCAGGTATATGCTTGTGGGCCATGGGTATATGATAATCTAATGGAGGACCTTGAGTGTTTTTATCTACCCAGTGACTGTGGGGATGTCACTGAGCAAGATGGCAAAGCACAGAAGGGAGTTGGATCTTAAGTAAGGACAGAAGGTGGAGGCAAACACTGGAAGGAAAATAGAGTCAGAGAAACAAGGATATGGGGGACCTGTTACCTGGTATAGTCAGGTGGCCTTCAGTATATGGCTGGTCTAAAGGGAGGAACCAAGCCAGGCAAATATCTGAGGCCATAGTGATAGTGCAGTACATGCAAAGGCCCTGAGGCAGGACCTAGCCTGGTTTGAGAAACAGAGAGAGGTTTGGCAGCTCCTCAGTAAGTTAAACACAGTTTCCACATGACCCAGCAATTCCACTGCTGAGTACACACTTAAGAGGAGTAAAAGCAGGTGTTCAAACAAAACTTGTACACTCTATGTTTACAGCAGCACTGTTCACAGCAGTCAAAGGTGGAAACAAAACAACCCAAGTGTCCATTGAGGGATCAATGGATAATCACAATGTTGTCCATTCATACAATAGAATATCACTGAACCACAAAAAGGAAGGAGGCTCTAATACAGACTGGACATTGAGGACATTATGCTCAGTGAGAGAAGGCAAACACAGAAGGACACACAGTATGTGATTCCATTTATATGAAATGTCCAGAATAGGCAGGTCCACAGAGATAGGAAATGGGTTCATCATTGCCAGAGGCTGCAGAGGGGGATGAGGGTGACTACTGATGGGGATAGGGCTTCTTTTAGGGATGATCAGATGTTTTGGAATTAGATAGTAGTGATTCACAGCAGTGTGAATGTACCAAATGCCACTGAATAGCATATTTTAAGATGCTTGACACTTACATGTTAAGTGTAACGTAACCAGGAAATGAGGGGGCCAGAGGGCCAGAGCCTGCCTGGCTTGGCACCCCTAAAGGTAGTTAAGAGCTAATTATCAGTCTGGATTATGACCGTGCTTCCTGTGTGTGCTTCATCTTTGCCTATGAGCAAGGGTTGGGCTGTTCCTGCTGGTGGGAAAGGGAGAGGGTCTGCTTGGGTGGGGTGGGGACCTCCACTTTAGAGTCACTGGCCCTGCCTTGTCAGAAACTTTGGGGGTTTCTTCTGGATGTGCCCTTACCCCAGCTCAGCCCTGTACCCTTTGCCTCCCCCTGCCCAGCTCCTATCCAAATATGACCCTCAGAAGGAGGCTGAACTCAGGAGCTGGATTGAGGGGCTCACTGGCCTGTCCATTGGCCCTGATTTCCAGAAGGGCTTGAAGGATGGGATTATCTTATGCACGTGAGTACATGCACAGACACGTGCTCTATCACCCTGGCTGGTTATGTTCCACACACTGTCTGAAGCTTGCTTTTCACTTGATGAGTCTTGGGTCTTTCTTTCCCTTGACTTATTGCTTTGTCTAGGATCTCTAATAGGGAGTATTCTCACCTTGTGCTCTCTTTCATGGAAGAATGAATAAAGTTTCTGGAGGCCTTTCTTTGTTGCATTCAACCATTGTTCAAACATTCTTTGCTTTTGCACATTAATTTTTTTTTTTTTTTTTTTTTTTGAGA